TTGCTATTCTTCAGTTTGGTTTCTGTTATTGATATTAAGTGGTAGTTGTTTTGAGCACAAAATTCGAGAAAGAGTTGGAACTTGAGGTTGTCATTAAGACCTTGGGTATTGTGTGTGATGATATTAATGTGGTCAGTAATATCTAGTGATGGAAATTTTATACTAGCAGGTGAGTTGGCTGATGACGGATCTGGAGATGGTGAATCTATATCTGATGAAGTGCTACTCATTGGGTTTTAGGTGAGTAGTTGTCAAGGATCTCCCAGTCAGGTTCGGGGAGGTTGGGTAGTTGTAGAAGGAAGGGGGGAATTCCATTAAATGCATAGTGTTCTTTTAGTGTTGTGATAGTTGGGTCTATTTCGTTTGGGTTGGTTATAGGGATTTTGATCGTGTGATACAATTCGAGTTGTTCTGTATATTTTGCCTTGGTCTAAATGAATTGACCAATTCTCTTTTAAGAAGCTTTCTCTTTTTTCTATATTTGTTATAATTTTAATATATGCTGCTTTAGAATTATAATTTTGTTGCCAGACGAGAATCATTGCAGTGCCAAAATAACTGAGATACTTTTTGATTTCTCTAGCACTCATTTCTTTAGGAAGGTCTCATAGTGTAAAATAATAATTTGTTGTATTTGTAGCTGTGATAATTGTAAAGCTATCTTTTAGTATCTAGTTTAAGTTGTAGATATCTTTATAATATTTAGTTTTTTTTCTTGTAAGTGGTTCTTTCCTAGTCTGCTTTTGTAAATTTTGCCTTTTATTGATGAATTCTTCTAGCCTATAGTCTAAGGCTCCAGCTTTGTTTTGTAATAAGATATCTTTAGTTGTTTCTGCTTTACTTTCTAATAATATGCTTGTATCTTCTTGGTCTGTAAAGCTTCTCTTGCAAGAGGTTCTCACCTCATCAATTAGCATTTTAGCATTAAATTGGTTTGATTGTATAAAAGAAAATTCTATGGGGATTTGTTTGGTGCTATTGCTATCCTTATTAATTTTTGTTTGTATTAAATTAATCTCCATAGAGGTGGATCCTGCTTTAGCTAAAACTATGTTGTTTAGAAGATATTTGAAGTCAGGTTTATTTTCTATTAGTTCTTTTTCCTTCTCTGTTATCAAATTTTCTCTTAGCTTTTTTTGCTGGACTCAGTTATATATATGCAGAATTTCCTTTATAGTAGCTATTAAGTGGTAATCCTCCGTGCCTAGGTATGATGTGATTTTCTTATCTTTTTTAAGAATTGTTGCATTTTGCTTGTTATACAGTAGTGATCTTTTCTCCTCGTTTTTGTTGAAAAAAATTTTAAATTCTTTCAAAGCTGGAATTTTACATGTTTTGTTTTGTTTGTTATTATGTATATACAGTATATATGTTTGTTGTTTTGTTTTGTTGTTGTTGTTTTATTATCTATATAGCTTACTAATTTGTTTATTTTACTTTGTTTATTTGTTTATTCTCTTTTTGTATTAGTTTGTTTTGTTGTAGAAGTGATTTGCACAATAGGGTGTAGGCAAATTCTCCAAAAGTATGGAGAAAAGTTTTTAATGTTTTTTGCAAAGTAAGAGAAAAATTAATATTTTTCAAAAATGTGTATTTTTAAGTTTGTGTTGAGCTAAGCTGTTCTAAGAAACTTTGGTTGATTTTTCTTGCCCGAACTTTTTCTTTAAGACTGTTTGGGGTGTTTGCTTAGTACCAAGATGTTCTAAATCTAGATTTTCTTTAGCTTTAGTTTTGAGCATAGTGATCATCGAGAAGAATTTTCTTCTTATTATAAATTTTTTTTAATTTTACTAAAAATTTTTAAAGTAATAAAAATTTATAGCTCTTGCTTTAAAAATTTTTACTAAAAAATTTTTCTTTAAATTTTTTAAATTTTTATATGTTTTTGTTTTTAAAAAATTTTTGCTTTTAATATAAGTTTTAATTTTTATTAGTAAATCATTAAAGGTATAATAATAAAAGTTGTCATCTTTTATATAAACTACAATATTGTATTAAGAACTATAAATTTAAAACTAATATTTAAAAAGTTTATTAAGAATTTGTAAATAATTTTTTTAGGTAAAATTTTTTTTTTAAGTTTATTTGTTTTTAACTTTTTTTTTTTTTTAATATTTAGAGAAATACTTTGAATATAGCACCTACTCTAAACTTTTATTAATATTTAAGTGAATTGAAATATAATAGTATTATAAATATATACATATTATATATTAGTATTAAAACTAGAACTTTAAATATACAAACTATTTATTTATAACTAAAACCTACCAGAGCTATCAATATTCTTATATATATAAAACTCTTTTCCGTAAATCTGTAAATTATAAGGAAAACAAAACAAACAAAATCCTAAAACTACCTACGAACTAATTATAAAGAAAACTATAACTAGACTACTGCCGGAAGGCAAATAAATATTACAAGTGCCCCGGGAATATCCACCACATTAAAAAGAGATAGAGACACACTTCTTGCTACCCCAGAATCCTTCGAACCCTTCCTCATCCCCTCAATAATAAGCACGGCACTGATGGACCCTGCCGGGACCTCAGACGCCCAGAACATTACAGTATATCCAAACACTCCAAATGACCCACCTCCTCAAAAAAGGAAGAAAACTATACAAGACGAAACTCCGTTCAATTCAACTACTACCTCCCCACCTCTAGACTCATAAAATTCTAACAAAAGTGGGCTTCCTAGTTTACCCCCAACAATTATCTAAATGATGTCATCCTACCAAAACAACAACAACAATGACCAAATACAACTGATTCCCATGCCCCGACCCAAACCAGCACCGATCAATGAAATTAACAACAACAAAACACAGATAATTTCTACGCCCCAGTCAGTACCCATGATGATCGACAATCAAAACACAACTGACCCCTGGCCGAACCCTCTTAACAACCTGGTAGTCTCTTCAACCCCGGAAGGTACCCCAGACGAACCCCAAAACAACTCAGCTGACCCCAACCCCGAGAACATGGATATACAATCCATGCCACAGTCGAATCCCTCCCAGCCAAGAAATCATATAGCAATGCACTTACCTCCAACTTACCCAAACACTCACTCCAAAACAACAAATCGGGTACCTGGGTTAATTCGGTCTCTCTGGCATTAGCCAAAGCACGTACGCTCGACTTTGATACCACCACATGGAATAATGACTGTATACTTCAGGCATTCTTCTTGGAAGAGCTTTTTGCTGAATTCCTCCTACACAAAGCACAAACCAACCCAACCAAATACAACCTCTCACATGCAATCCAAGAAAAATTTTCCTACCTAGATACAGCTTTCTTTTGTTCCTTTACCAAAGATAAAACTACACAGCCATTGCACCAAAAAGAGTTTAGTTCTCTACTCGAAATGGCTATAGAAAAATACAAAAGAATCCACAATGCACGATTCATCAATAAACACAATCGAGACCAGATCTTTAACAAACTGAAAACAAAACTCGCACTAGACGTTATCTGTAATCTTGACTTCCTCACCACCAGTCCTCATGACTGCGCTCGAGTCATCCGCTACTGCCAAAATTTCGCAAAAATTCAACACAATATGGAATTTGAAGACTTACGCAAACTGATTAATCAAGCCCATACCCAATTACTCATGCCACTGCCACCAACCCCAGCCCAAATAGACCTTGCAATCCAAAACATCCTGCCATTTCCCCTCCCCATACAAGAACGAAGTCTCACCCGCGCCACAGTCCTAGCACTGCGAAAAATCTTTTCATTTGAAAAACTACCCGAAGCATACTTTACAACACTACTAGAACCCTTACCCGATGATCCATCGAAACTACATCCAGAAATTAAAGACCTATTCCCTATCACTGAA